GTGTGTGCGTGCTTGTGTGCGTGTGTGTGCGTGCTTGTGTGCGTGTGTGTGCGTGTGCTTGCGTGCGTGTGCTTGCGTGCGTGTGTGTGCGTGTGCTTGCGTGCGTGTGTGCTTGCGTGTGCTTGCGTGTGCTTGCGTGTGCTTGCGTGTGCTTGCGTGCTTGTGTGCTCTTGCGTGTGCTTGCGGCTTGCTGTGTGATTGCGTGCTTGTGTGGGCGCGTGTGCTGCGTGCTTGTGTGTGCTTGCGTGCTTGTGTGTGTGTGCGCGGTGTGCTTGCTTGCTTGTGTGTGCTTGCGTGCTTGTGTGTGTGTGTGTGCTTGTGTGTGTGTGTGTGTGTGTGTGTGCGGTGTGCTTGCGTGCGTGTGTGTGTGTGTGCGTGTGTGCTTGCGTGCGTGTGTGTGCGTGGCGTGTGTGCGCGTGTGCTTGCGTGCTTGTGTGTGCGCGTGTGCTTGCGTGCTTGTGTGTGCGCGTGTGCTTGCGTGCTTGTGTGTGCGCGTGTGCTTGTGTGTGTGTGTGTGTGTGTGCGTGTGTGTGTGTGTGTGTGTGTGTGTGTGCGTGTGTGTGTGTGTGTGTGTGTGTGCGTGTGTGTGTGTGTGTGTGCGTGTGCTGTGTGTGTGCGTGTGTGTGGTGCTTGCGTGCGTGTGTGTGCGTGCTTGTGTGTGCGTGTGTGTGCGTGCTTGTGTGTGCGCGTGTGCTTGCGTGCTTGTGTGTGCGCGTGTGCTTGCGTGCTTGTGTGTGTGTGTGTGTGTGTGTGTGTGTGTGTTTAAGAACGTCTCCTTTAGCGCACGTTTCAGGGTTACCAGCGGCCTGCTCTCAGCATTATTGAGTACCTTCTAAAAGTCACAGGCTTATAATTGGTGTTCCCATTTCTCGTGAGAGAACAGGTTCTTTGTGTACGATACTTTGGTAACGTTGATTTGAGGAGGCTATTAGAGGGAAGTGGTTCAACGGGGAATGTGTCTGAAGACGTCGGTTTCCCTTCGGCGAGAGAGGGCAGAGCAGCAAAACGCTTTATAGAGTTTGCTGCCCTTCAAGTTGGGAAGGGGCTTTACATACTTAGATATTTGGGTATATTTAGATGGGTAGACGTATATAGATCAATATAGATATAGACATATAGCACTTCTAATTAATCATGCGCAATATAGACGGTGTATCCACCGTGGTTATTCCAGCAGCCTGTTTTTGCTGATGTTTGAGAGAGTCTTCGTTCTTGTTTCAGACATCAGGAGTGGCTTATTGTGATGAACTACAACCAGTCCCTCAAAGCCAGCGATAACTTTATGGGAGCTCCACTTTTTTTTTATGCTCGTAGAGATCGCGAAACCGAAGCAGCCGCCGCCCCAGCAGCAACATCAGACGCTGCAGGCGCCCAACGGTGCTGTGCGCAAGGATGCCAACGGAGTCCAGGAGACGAGAACATCGGCAAAGCAGGTTAGTGCCCATGTAGGTACACCCGGCAGCAACCTAAACGGAATGGTACAACGGTAAACACAGGTATCACAGTATATATCGCAAGGCATACGCGTACACACCGCTGTAAGCATAGTTTCCTAAAATTAACTAGAGGCGACTCTGGTGCTGCGATCGTTCAGCGACCATGGGAATGATGGGTAGTACACACATTTGCCTAGTCTTCCTACTTGCGGGTGGCGAATCGTACTTGCTGCTTCATTTATTGCTGTGTTTCGGTTTTGTTTTGAAATAAAGATTCAACCCCCTTTGAACTTCGTGACCCGATTTGGAAAGGTAAGTCTAAAATAATAAAATGGTGAAGCGAAACCACTGAACATTTGCTAATACTTGTTTCGTAAGAAAACAGCTCCAAGCCACACGAACACACACGGAACCAAAATCGGGCCAGAAGTACGAAGTTTAAAGAAAATGTGTGTACTACCAACATTTCCACGCTCGCTGAAGCGCCGTGCGTTGCAGCTCCCGTAGACACTAGCGCCAGAGTTCCCTCTAGTGTATATTAAGAAACTTTATGGCTGTAAGAGCTTGCAGATCATATAGAGCAGTGCCAAATAGCCAGCCGATCAAAAACGCAATATTATTTCTACAACTGCGAACTTTTCTTGTGTGTGTGCTATTTCTTGGAATATTATACGCAGGACGATCTGCTGCCACCTTCTACATCATGCGAGCTTCCTGGATAATTTTTCATAACTTGGGAATGCTGGCACACAGAAGCGAACAGATTGATATTCGGGCATTTTTTCAACATAGTTTTATATTAAACGTTAAAGAGTTCATTCTAATTATGGGAGACCTCTAGTCGCTTCATGAAGCCCCCTATTTTAGTACTTACTAAAGTGTGTGCTTATTACGTATACCTAATCATGAGCTAGCGTCGTCTATAGAGCTCCTTTTTGTGAGTTTTGTGTCTGAACCAATAAAAACTTTTGAAATACTTACCATCACTTCCATATAAGACATCTTTAGCCGCTTCCTGAAGCTCCTGCCTTTTAGTTTTGATTTTAGACCGTGGGGGCATTGCGCATCTAGTGTTCAAAAAGTGTTGTCTCCTTTTCGCGGGTTTCGTGTCGAAATGTGTAGTGTTATTTTTAGGTAGTCACACAGTTATTTAGCTTCAGATGAGATGGAAAAAAGGCTTGCAGTGGTCAATGAAAAATAGAAGGCCTTCTCATTTCAGAGGTTCGCCTACGCTACACTGTTCTCATAACATGTGACGTAAGAACCTCACAGCTTACGTCGTATAGCGAAACATGGCTGCAATAAAACCTGACCACCCTCCTTCTTCCGAAGAACTCTGCGCGCACCTATATATATATATATATATATATATGTATGTATGTATGTATGTATGTATATATAATATATATATATATATATGTATGTATGTATGTATGTATGTATATATATATATATATAATATATATATATATGTATGTATGTATGTATGTATGTATATATATATATATATATATATTATATATATATATGTATGTATGTATGTATGTATATATATATATATATGTATGTATGTATGTATATATATATATATATGTATGTATGTATGTATTATATATATATATATGTATGTATGTATGTATGTATGTATATATATATGTATGTATGTATGATGTATGTATGTATGTATATATGTATGTATGTATGTATGTATATGTATGTATATATATGTATGTATGTATGTATATATATATATATATAGTATGTATGTATGTATGTATATAATATATGTATGTATATGTATGTATATATGTATGTATATGTATGTATATATGTAGTATGTATGTATATGTATGTATATATGTATGTATGTATGTATATATGTATGTATATGTATGTATATATGTATGTATATATGTATGTATATGTATGTATATATGTATGTATATGTATGTATATATGTATGTATATATGTATGTATATATGTATGTATATGTATGTATATGTATGTATATGTATGTATATATGTAGTATGTATGTATGTATGTATGTATGTATGTATGTATGTAGTATGTATGTATGTATGTATGTATGTATGTATGTATGTATGTATGTAGTATGTATGTATGTATGTATGTGTATGTATGTATGTAGTATGTATGTATGTATGTATGTATGTATCTTAATGAAACGTATGAGTTGACGGTCAATACGAAATTGCTTTAATGTTTACATTTTACAGAAATTCCCCGACATATCTGCGTCATACTGTAGTAGTTTGATACGTAACGTGTTTTTTTTTACACTTTACATGTCGTGATTACTATGACTAAGCAATTTCAATGGCTATTGTTGCTGCACAGCTAAATACGTAGGTCTTGTGGGACGTGTGACGTGGCTTATTAGTGAAGCTAAGTGCAGCAAGAGATTGAATGAATAAAAAAATATTCTCACTTAATGGGACACGATTTTTATTTTATTTTTGTAATGGGAAGACAAGGTTTCGTTGCGGGATGCCGATTAAATTAACCTGGGCATTCTCGTATTCTTAGACAGCAACTTTCTAAGCAGCTGAATAGCAAAGTGAACCTCTATTTCAAAAGCTTGAGAAGTGTTCTTTATTGCAAACACTGGTGCTAGGTCGTATTCGTTCATCATAATACGATTCAGACATGGGCCAAGCGTACGTAAAAAAAGATTTCCTACTGGCGTAGCAAGGTGTCTTGGCCGACATAAAACCAATGGCTTTGCGCTTTATTCCTGTCATTCTTCACAACTTGGCAGCTTTGCGCAAATAAACCTTTAATTTCAACGCGCGCTTCAATCTAATGATTTTATGACAAGCTCATCTTGGGCACCATTTTCTGTCTTGCGCTGACACTGAGATTAAAAAAAAAATAGACACTGAAGTGGTATTTTCATGGTTTGTGCCTCAACAGTTGACAACAACTGTGAACAAAGGACGAGCGTTTGAACACACACACGCGCGCACGCTTGTGTGTTTGTGTGTGTGTTTGTGTTTGTTTAATAACGTCTCCTTTAGCGTACGTTTCAGGGTGACCAGTGGGGTGCTCTCAGCATTATTGAGTACCTTCTGAAAGTCACAGGCTTATAATTGGTGTTCCCATTTCTCGTGGGAGAACAGATTCTTTGTGTATGATACTTTGATAACGTTGTTTTGATGGGGCTATTAAAGGGAAGTGGTCGTAAAGGGAATGTGTCTGAAGACGTCGGTTTCTCTTCGGTGAGAGAGGGCAGAGCAGCAAGACGCTTTATGCAGCTTGCTGCCCTACAAGTTGGGAAGGGGCTTTACATATTTAGATTTTTGGGTATATTTAGATGGGTAGATATATATATGGACCAATATAGATATACACAGATGGCGCTTCTAATTCAGCACGGGCAGCATAGACAGTGGTTATTCCAGCAGCGTGTTTTTTCTGATGTTTGAGAGAGTCTCCGTTCTTATTTCAGACATTTGGAGTGGCTTATTGTGATGAACTACAACCAGTCCCTCAAAGCCAGCGATAACTTTATGGGAGCTCCACTTTGTTCTTATGCTCGCAGAGATCGCGAAACCGAAGCAGCCGCTGCCCCAGCAGCAACATCAGACGCTGCAGGCACCCAACGGAGCTGTGCGCAAGGATGCCAACGGAGTCCAGGAGACGCGAACATCGGCAAAGCAGGTTAGTGCCCACGTACGTACACCCGGCAGCAAGCTAAACGGGATGGTACAACGGTAAACACAGGTATCACAGTATGTATCGCATGTCATACACGTACACACCGCTTTAAGAGCTTGCAGATCATATATAGAGCTGTGCCAAATAGCCAGCCAATCAAAAACGCAATACTATTTCTACAAATGCGAACTTTTTTGTGTGTGTGCTATTTCTTAGAATACTATACGCAGGACGATCTGCTGCCACCTTCTACATCATGCGAGCTTCCTGGATAATATTTCATAACTTGGGAATGACGGCATACAGAAACGAACAGATTATTATTCGGGTATTATTTCAACATAGTTTTATAATAAACGTTAAAAGGTTCATTCTAATTATGGGAGACCTCTAGCCGCTTCATGAAGGTGCCTCTTCTAGTACTTACTAAGGAATGTGTGCTAATTACGCATACCTAATCATGAGCTAGCGTCGTCTAGAGCTCCTTTTCGTCAGTTTGGTGTCTGAAATGGGTGGCATTGGTGTTTTTACGAAGTCACGTATACTTTAGCTTTCTTCCCTTAAATATATTCATAGTTTTCTAATAACCAATAAAAACTTTTTAAACACCATCACTTGCATATAAGACCTCTTTAGCCGCTTCCTGAAGCTCCTGCCTTTTAGTTTTGATTTTAGACCGTGTGGGCATTGCGTATCTAGTGTTGAAAGTCTCGTCTCCTTTGCGCGGGTTTCGTGTCGAAATGTGTGGTGTTGTTTTTAGGTAGTCACACAATTATTTAGCTTTAGATGAAATTGAAAAAGGCTCGCAGTGATCGATGAAAAATAGAAGGCCTTCTCATTTCAGAGGTTCGCCTACGCTACACTGTGTGTGTTGTGTGTGTGTGTGTGTGTGTGGTGTGTGTGTGTGTGTGTGTGTGTGTGTGTGTATATATGTATGTATATGTATGTATATATGTATGATATGTATGTATATATGTATGTATGTATGTATGTATGTTGTATGTATGTATGTGTATGTATGTATGTATGTATGTATGTATGTATGTAGTATGTAGTATGTATGTATGTAGTATGTATGTATGTATGTGTATGTGTGTGTGTGTGTGTTGTGTGTGTGTGTGTGTGTGTGTTGTGTGTGTGTGTGTGTGTGTGTGTGTGTGTGTGTGTGGTGTGTGTGTGTGTGTGTGGTGTGTGTGTGTGTGTGTGTGTGTGTGGTGTGTGTGTGTGTGTATGTATATGTGTATGTATGTATGTATGTATGTTGTATGTATGTATGTTGTATGTATGTATGTGTATGTGTATGTGTGTATATATATATGTGTATGTATGTACGTGACATCTGGTACCAGATGTCACGGGGTCGTGACGCGGCCAAAGACAGAAAACTTCGTGTTGGGATTTAACTGTTTATTTGGGCGAACCTGTGCCCGGTAAAGGGAAAGTCTAATTACAGCAGCAGTCTTGCGCAGATAGCAGTCTCGGACTGTACCAGATGTCACGGGGTCGTGACGCGGCCAAAGACAGAAAACTTCGTGTTGGGATTTAACTGTTTATTTGGGCGAACCTGTGCCCGGTAAAGGGAAAGTCTAATTACAGCAGCAGTCTTGCGCAGATAGCAGTCTCGGACTGATAGCGGCGAACGCAGCGTCGGCCTTCGATCAACAACTGACAAGCGGCGAAGCGCGTCGGCATTTATACTCTTGCCGTCGAATGTTCTAGCGTTATCGCTGGTGGTGGCGTAGGTTCCAGAACAATCTGTACCATTCGCACAGTGGGCGTGATCTTATCGAAATGATCTACTACAGTCCGGAACCTTCTAGAAAACTGCAGGCGCGGTTTGCGCTGAGAATCGTGCGGTGTTTTCGGACGATAACAAAAACTTGGGAAATGGAACGTGGCAATATATGTATATATATATAATGTGTGTGTGTGTGTGTGTGTGTGTGTGTGTGTGTCGGATATACTCGTAGAAATGTTACGGAAGGCACTTGAAGAGCGTCGCGATCATGTGCTCAACACCCGAGACTTTACGTACAGCTATTCCGGTCGAAACCGCCCTCGTTACGATCTCGCCCCGTGTTTGCTCGCCGCTGTGGCACGCTCTTTTACGACGGAACGATTAAACCGAGGCTGCGGCATACGCGTCTTTAGCCTATAGCTTCTTTTAACGGCGGTGTCGCCGACGCAGCTTTTGCTGACATTGACGCGCAGTCAGCGGCAACGAACACCGCTACGTTGTCGCTGTGCAAAGCTAGCGAATCACGTGCCGCACATCGCAGATCTTTGGCAAAGTTGTTCCTAAATGGTGGCACGTAGCCTAACCCCCGTATTCACAAACGCTCCTCGACTCAACTTTCACCCTTCATTGACAGAGTGGAGCACTGCGCCGCTGCTCGGCTGAAAATGACGCTGCGCTACTCAAGAATAGCAGCAACTTATCGCTGATATGCAGTGACTTTTCCTGCCTAGAGATGGCGCTCCCATCGGCTTTCTCAAATGAAGGTGGAGCGTTGAGTGATGGGGCATTCTAGAATACGGTGGTTAGACTTTCAAACTTAAATCTTGAGCGTAGTTGAGTACGTATATTCCCTCGGACTCGAGGCTATCGTTGTATCTCAGCTGTAGATACACGACGCGTTCAAGCACTTACAAATATGGTGGTGGTAACAACTTTATCAGTAACTCAGACAATGCCCCGCCCCCAGTAGTCTTGCGGTTAAGGATACTCGGCTGCTGACCCGCAGGTCGAATCCCGGCTGCGGCGGCTGCATTTTCGATGGAGGTAAAAATGCTGTAGGCCCGTGAGCTCAGATTTGGGGGCACGTTAAAGACTCCCAGGTGGTTGAAATCTCCGGATTCCTCCACTTCGGTGTCTCCTATAATCGTATGGTGGTTTTTGGGACGTTACACCCCACATATAAATCAATCAATAACTCCGGCGAATTCGTGGCCTGCGCCTATAGGCTGCTCCCGAGGAGGACCGGAGACCGTCTCCTCGCCACGGGCTTGTTGGATGGCCCACAGTTTATCCTGGAGGTTCAAAATATGAACGAAATAGATACCTCTACTGTAGCTGTTCAAGTTGAACAGATCAGGGTCAATTTACTCCACGTGACTTATGGTCGATGAAGACGTCCTTTAAACTTCTTTTTTTTTTAGTTTATTACTGTCTTCTTTTTTTGTATATAGAATCAACTGGCCCCTCGAGTCACTATCCTTGTATAGTGCCGATATCAAGTGTAGATAGAGAGAAAGAGAGAAGGCAAGAAGGGGGAACCGCAGGAAGGTTAGCCATACGAGCGTCCGGCGTGCTACTTTTCACTAGGACTAAGGCAATGAGGAATAGAAAGATGGATAGAAGGATAAGGTGGCCAAGGGGGTTAACCAATGCTAAACCCGGCCGGAAGAAAGTGATTCACAATAAAAGGAATACTATGGTATAAAGGGTTCATGGGCATACAGCGCGTGTTCTCAGACGATGCTGCTTGCTCGGTTTGGCCGTGAATATCTACCGTCGCGACGCTTTGTCGACCCGGCTATTGGTGTCTCGGTAAACCAAGCGATGTGTGTCTTTCCAATCGGAAAATAGGCTGCGGCTTTTCGTTCATGTTGCTAATTCTTGAACGTTGGCCGAAATGGAGATTCTTGTACTTGTAAATTGTCTCGCAAGTTGCAACACATTAGGAGTGTACTTACGAGGAGTGGGAACACACCTGGGAACGATCCCGTCTGCTGATTTTGCTTGCGGTGTTAAGTGTAACTCAAGAAAGACGTGCACGCACCACTTAAACGTGCGCTACGTGGCGCAGGCCTTGCAAGACTGCCTGGAAGAGTTGGGTGTCGAAGATGCAGTATGGTGCTCGAGGAGTTCGGACAAGGTCTACCAGGTGAGCAGAATCACACCTTTTTGCGGCTTTTCTTTCCACATATCGTTATGCTGATTAATAGAACGACGACAATATAAACACCGGCTTTTTTTAATCAACAGAATACGCAGTTTTACTTCAGCTGTGCGGAAAACGTGTATCTTGAATATGAACAATCTGCGGATTTTCGTAGTTATGCACGCTCATATGCGGACCGATGACAGTGAAGTGCTTCTTCTATCATGCTTAGCTGTATACAGGCGTCAAGGTGAATGCAGTATACAAAGGACTGTGACTTACTCGGAACTCTCAACATTTGTTTAGACAGCGGGGCTTTGAAGTGCCCTAGTCTCTATCACTATATCATTAGGCGCATGCAAAGATCAGCTGTAGCAGCAGTCCTCTAAAAAAAAAATGCCTCGAGAAAGCTCTGATGGACCTAAAGTTATTCGATTTCATTAAAAAACTAAAAAATAGCAATTTTCGGACATGATAGCGCAAAGCATTACAACCACGCAGTTTCGAAGCTCATGTCTATGGTAATTACATTGCAAAAGCATGATCCTTGGTCGAATCGTGGTGTTTAAAAACCCGGATGGCCAGCTTTGTTGGGCTTCACATTTTATGCTTTGCAAGCACTATCACGACACATACAGTTGTTAGCATTTAATATCAAAATTAGGGTAAATTCTCAACGTCGTACTCCACGTAATAAGTTTGCATACTCCATGATGTGACTTGCGAATCGAGCATTTCAACTCTAAACTCATCAGGCGCTGTTCGTAAACATATTCGGATCTTTTCATAACAATTTTCAGAAATGCGCAAAAAATTCCATATGAAAATGCTGCCAGATTGAAGGAATAACCTGAAACGTGATTTCAGCTATTGTTGAGAAAATGCCTTTCTCACGCGCGTCTTTTCTATAACCTGGCGACGTTCGGTTCTTTTAAATGCTCGTGTAACATGGTGACTACGTGCGTTATGCTTCCTTAATCATGCACGAATGCGGCTTTCGCCCTGCTTTCTGTCTGAGCGCAGGTCATGTTTCCCTGCGAGTCGGGTGAGGACACGGACCTGGTGCTCAAATCTCTCAACTCCAGAGGCATCGGACTGGACGCGGGCTCCACTGTCGGGTGAGCTTGCCATGATAGCTTCAATACGGAATTAGCTCACATGCGTGGTAGAGCTGGTAGAGGCGAAGCGCCCCTGCTCTTCATCACAAGCTTAATTTGAAAAACTGTGATGTGATCATTCGCGGGATCTTGTACACGTTCGGCCTTTGTTCGGTTACGAAGCGTTCTGTCTCGGTTCGCGCGACTGGTCAGAAGCAAGCTGCTCGTCCGAGACTGTCAGCTTTCGGTCATAGGCCCTTGCCGAAATCAAATGTTTGAGGACTGTGCACGTCATATCCCATGTGGGCTCATGGCTAAGCAGCACCAGTGCGTTACGGGTCAGGGAAGTGTTGTTGACTTTCTTGCGGGTCACGAGCCTGATTGAAACTTTGTAAATAGTGTAGTTCACGTGTGTGTAGCTGCTGTTGTGTTGTGTTTATCAATGTACATATCATAACCATCACCCAGCACATGGAGTAGCATCTCGGGTGTAGAGGCAAGCAAACATCTCCAGCTCTTCATTAAAATATTTTTCTTCTCTGGCGTTGAACAATCTTTGAAAACCTGGTTGATTTGGTGATGCGTCAACCACGGCGCAACCAAAGAGACAAGAGCAATAAGAAGAACGTACGAAGCACTATTCCCTCTTCTTGAGTGCCATATTTGTACTTTTTTCTTATCGAACTCGCTTCGGTAGTTACTTTGTGGTTCATCATTACCTATCGATAGAACAGCGACGTTTGATTTTTCTTTAAAAAAGTGTTATTGATAGAGACGTTCGTTATTTACAGCCTTTCAATAAGTTTTCCCTTTTATCTTCTACCATAATGAGAAACAAACACAAGGGCTGATACTGTTTGATCAGTGCCCTTCTTCGAACTCGTAGGTGGGCCGTTCACCAACGTATCAGAATTTGCGAAGAGTACAGACGGAATTGCACTTGTCTAGAGCACCCAGCTGGCCGCTGTAGCTGCTGTTTCTAGAAGATATATGCAAATAGCGACGCCGTATCGATACCACACGGTCATACCGCATGATAGGTCATTATGCTATAATTAAAGCATGAACGGAAGCTTGTACCTAACGTGAGATATATGCAGAAGCTGAGGTCAACACTGTGGACAGCCTCACGCTCTGTTGCTCTAGACAAGTGTTATTCCAGTCTTACTATCAAAACCTACATGTCCCGTAGTTCATGCGTGCAGTGCCTGCTCTGTACACTTCGTTGGTCAAAAAGTCAACAAGGCATAAGCGTAGAAACCACATTATTTGTACAGTTGCTACAAGGTACATCTCTGTTCGCGTTTTTTTTTTCCTTCGTCTCGTCATTCTGCTGCGTTGTGTGTCAAGCTCTTCACCAATATTAAATTATCTGAATTATCAACTCGAGGTCGCAGTGATCCACCTTGCCCTAGATGCCTCGCTTGGGTAACGAGAGCGTATGCATTGAGCAAACACTTTTTACACGTGTTTTCCGCACGCCTATCGCATACACGCCTGCGGTCGGGTGACTTTATCGCTTACACTTTTCCGCCCCACACGTGTTGGGGAAAGTTGCTCTGTCACAAGCTTCGGTGTTGAGAACAATCGATGTAGCCTTGTTTACGAAGTGTACACTGCAGAGCTATCTGCAAGAATCAAACATTTGCTTACCTGTCAGAGCAAGATATCCCGATGCCTTTTATCTTTATGGGAAAGTATCGCGAACGCGGGGCTGTTCGCCCCTCAGTATGCACGTGCGTGAGTGCACGTGCGTGTAATGTGCATGCCTATGGCAGAATTAGGGGTGTTCGCATTGTTTTAGCTTATCGCCCTATTCAATGCCCTGAATGCTTACTTTCGTTAGCCACGCCGGATCAGTGGTTTTGACGCTTGGCTGCCAACCCGAAGGTGACGGATTAGATCCCGGGTTGCATTTTGAGGTGAAATGCTGGAGGCTCGTGTACTGCGCACTGTCGGAGCATGTTAGGGCACCCCAGGTGGTCCAAATTTCCGGAGCCGCGCACTACAGCCTCCCTCATAATCATATCGTGGTTTTAGGACGTTAAACACCAGATATTATTAAGGTATAGAATAGACCAATACTGGAGTTTCCAGTTGTCCTGGAGAAAAAGTGGACGTCACAAATGTCCCTATCAGCATTAAAATAGGAGGGCTTAGCCAGTCAGTGAAATGTAAGGCAATATCATGTGACGAGAATTGTGAGGTTCGAGATTAGGTATATACAAAACATGCCTTCTTGAGTGGTAATGAGAAAACTGGATCTTGTTCTGTAACACGGTTGCAACAATGCTGAATGTGGCCATATTTTTCTTTTTTTCAGCGTTGTTCCTTGCGCGATATTTTACCAAGGTGGTGACGATGCTACGACAGAAGACCACGAGTAAGTGCACATTCCAGGTCTTGACTGCGTACTTCCTTTTCGTACTGTCTCATGATACTTGATTATGTAGATTAAAACGCGAAAGGCCACATGAACGATGATGATACCAAAGTCTAGAAAAATACGCTTCACCATCGAGAGTAGGCTAACCAAACATCTTCATACCTGGTAGACTTTTATAACAAAGCTAGCCTTTCTATCAGCATCATCATAAAATACCACTTTTCGATTACCTGCGACGCTTTCGCAGGTAATCACTGAAGACTCTAGTCCTACAGACTTTATCTCGGTCTTAAGTTCTCGAATAACAGACAGCAAAGTGGCAGTTTTTTGTCGTGAAAAATTGCAATTTTTAAGATAACAAATCTGAGTCCACAGCAGCCCGGCTCTCTGGGCGGTAAATGATTTAACACTGTTACGTGGTTAAATTGTCGAGATTGGCAATATCCTATAGCGAAATAGAACGGCGCGAATTGATCACATGAATCACGAATCTGAAAAGAAACTGAACGGGCACTGAAAATGCGGTGAAAGTACACATTCGTACTTTTGTGATACTTTGATACATGATTACATGATCATTGATAACGTTCGCAGAGAGGAAGCGTCCGGCTTCAAGACTGCCCAGCAGAAATTTCTCAAGTCTGTGACGGCACGTCTCACGGTAGCCCAGGTTAGTATAGTAAACTTGTACTGCAATCCTTGTACTGGTCAGTTGCAATCTATTACGGTTGGTGGCACTGCAGAAACAGTGTTAGTGTCATTGGGGTTATTGGTCTGTAACACATCTATTGATCCTCATCCATGCGTACCTTTTGTTCCTGATCGTGGATGCTTTAGAAATTACGAAGATAGCTTTAAAGCTGGCCACACAAGTGGTTTGCGTACGCAGTATAGGTTAAAGCCACGGTACTGCGCATGTGCGAAATCTCCAGCACACGCGTACGAAACCCAAAGCATGGGGGTTCTGGCGCTGCGAGCTCTTGCAGTCTTTGTGTGGCTTGCGTTTGGGGAGGCACAGCACGTGTGCGCAAGCTCTATGGGCCTGATTGCACACCCAGCACTGAATCTGTCTACTAACTTTTTTTTCAGTTCAGTTCAGTTTATTCATTCATTCAAAATACAAAATTCGTAGAATGTAGTATGCAGACGAGGGTCCTAAAGTCAAGCGACTGCAGTGGGACCCTCGGTTAACAATAACAATAAAATTATTAATTATAACAGCACGTAAAATACGCAACACATGTGAAAAGTAAACAGTGAACTTGCATAAAATAACATCAAGTAAACAAAAAAGGCAGTCAGAATGTGACACAAGAACAATAGTAATAAGTTATACAAGTAAAACATAATCACGCCATAAAGCAATAACCTAAATTTGCAAAGTCTTTCCAATTTCATGTCCGGATACATAAGAATCGTTAAGTAATCATGGTTGTCAACCTAGTTATGCAAGATGAAGTTTTTAAGATCACGTTTGAATGCATGAAAAGATGACGATGATTTTGGTGTATAGGGCAGGTTATTCCACAATTTAATGACCGCGAAGGCGGACGTCATTTTGCCATAATTGGTTTTACATTTAGCTAAAGGGAAGTTGGGACTGTGGGCGAATTTAGTGCTATTGGTGTTAGTGAGTAAACTAGCATCGATTAAATCAAACACAAGCTGTTTGTTATGTTGTTTATATAACAATATGATTAAGTGAAAATTAAATAAGCCAGACACAGTAAGAATACAGTTAGCCTGAAGGAGTGGGGTAGCATTAGAATAAGATGAACTGTTGGTAATAATGCGAATGGCCTGATTCTGAATGTGCTGTACAGGCGAAATATGAATGTTATATGTATTTCCCCATGATGTAATGCCATAGGTGATGTGACTATGTATGCAGGCAAAGTATAAAGACAATAAGGCTTCAAGTGAAAAAAAAAGGACGAGATTTGATGAGTGATCTCAGAGTCAACTTGGTTGACTCTGAAGATATTACGAGTCGGGATCGCTGTACCTGCTGAACTTGTTCACCGCGGTGCTGTACACTGCAAATCATTTCGCACCCTTGAGGGTGGATGTTTCAATAAATCACCCATCTTACACCTATTATTTCTGCCAAACTTATCCGCACGGGTGTAAGTTCTGCAATTCCACCTTTTGTACACCCATTTGTCATTTTAGGTGTACTATAGGTATATGTTAGCAAATTACACCCAAGGGTGTTTCCTTGAACGTTACACCTATCATATATGTATATAGTTTAGAGCATCAATACATATCACATCTCAACGGATGCAATCAAACCGCATGCCAAAAATCTGGTGAAAAGATCGATGTCTGGTGAAAAGATCAATGCATTCGTTTTCATTTCCCATAATTCATTCGCCAAAATATATCGTGCTATGTATTATATTTATTAAACCACCCCCTATTTACTATATTCAGAAGATTCCTCACATGTCCAATGACTTAATTCTTGGGTTGACTTTTTGGGATTCCTACTAAAATATTTTGCTGCCGCTTATGTCCATTCTTCCCTAACTCTCACAGAGACATCAGTAAAAGAGATTATGTTGCACTTAAACATAACATGAAACGATCACACATGGTTTTCGACAGGCTATCGTTCGCGCTTTCTCATTTGAAATCACACTAAGTTTTTTGTACCAGACGTCCTGATTTATTAAAGACGATAGTGTTTTTCGGGACCTTCAACGCAAAAATTTTGGTCTGCCTGCCTGTCTGTCTGTCTGTCTGCCTGTACATTTGTCTGTTTGTCCACTCTATACGGCATCTGGTACTTGAAATGGCCGACCTCATCCGCAGCGCTCACCAGTGTTGGTCAAGATTGAGCGTTCATGCTTGTGCAATCGTCAATTAAAAAGCCATCATTGCGCATGTCTGTGGCACCATAACAACACGTATATATTCTGCATGTGCGTCTTTTCCTAGAAAAAGCATACATTAGTAATATTAAGGGTCGTAGCGCTTATCACACTGCGCTGACCATGTAAAGCTTGCACGGAACAGGGAGTGTTTCCAACGCTTTGCTAAGGTGGTGGAATCTACCCGTCGCCTTGCGTTCTACACCTTATCACCTCTGAGATGGGCGCGCACACCCCTCTCAAAGCCACATGCTTTGTTTCGTAAGAAGACTGCCAGATGGCGCTCATGTCTCACGTGCGACATGATTTGATGTTCTTTTTTGCCTTCGCTGTACGCTCGAGGCACTCAAACGCAGTGCCTACAGAATCCCACTCACCGACTTTATTGCGGAGAACACCAAATAAATGTCCTGTTCACTGTCTCTCCACACGCAAGACTATCGTCTTTTGACGACATTTGAAGAAACATGGAGATATGGAGCCAATTTTTTACAATGGGGGTCCATATATTTCCTCACACTGAAGTATTTCGCATCAATACACAGGTCCCTGATTTATTCAGTGAGTTATATTTAGATCTATGAACATGGATCAGTTCAAATTGAATGTTTGTAGTATTCGCATTGCCACGGAACTAGGCATGTTTACAATTAACAGGCTAAGCTTACTCTGATGCAGCTGCTGTGCACGCATGCTGCGCCGCAGGACAAGCTTGGCGCACATACGCTGAGCACGGGTGAACTCTTCCAATGGGTCGCACCACTCTGTGGGCACTTAGTGCTCTTTTTATATTTACTTGATATGCACGCCTGCGCGTCGTATAATATACAGGTGAACGATCGTAGACAACACCAGCGCAATGTACCCGTGCCACAAAGATGGAGAGTAGTTAACTAATTGCAGCATTGTAATTGACAGTTGTTACTGTCGCGTTACAATGCACAGATAATCGCACATTGGTATGCTCACACAAAATTTAAGACTTGAAATAAAACCAAGCGTCCTTCATACTTTGTCGGTAAAAAAAGCATAGCCCCCGGTTCTTGCTGAGTGGCAGAGAGTTATTTAAAAGAAGCTAATAGCACAGCGGGGGTGTTGCTAGGATTTATGCGTGCAAGGGAACAGAAAGAGGAAAAAAGGGGGCCTGACGCATTTTGCATGTACATTTTTGCCTGTAGTTGCATACGTGCGGATCCGAATCGCAAGCTTTCTTTTTTTTGCGAAATGAGCCAGATCCTGACCCGAAAGTAGCTCAAATGACACTCAATTGGCTAATACATACGTTCACGTCTCCTCTAAAACAGTAATATTGAAACATTATTTATAAATAGTACTGTTCTAGACGAACGTTGATAGTATGCATATGTCAAGGCAGCGTTAGTTGAGCTTGTTCTGGTTCTAGATTTGCCCCATTTTGAATTAAAAAAACCTCCTCAAACGAACATAAAAAAGAGTGGAAGATGTGTCAAATATGGAACAACTTCCTTGCCACCCTTCCATAACTTTTTATTTATATCTATGTTCCGTAAGTAACAAATTTTGACTCCGAAATGTCGAAACAACGCCGCAGTAACGCCTCACCCGGGAAAAAAAATGTACATTACGAAGGCTACGCATTTGCCGCCTGCACCCGTCAGTGGCAAAAAAAAAAGACTTTGAAGCTCTGCTAGCAAATAAATATGTTGTCAAGCATGAAATATTACACTATATCTTGGAGGCTTGACATAGCTTGGAAATTATATCATATAACGGTACTGCTATGTGTTTCGGGTTCGGTTTTGAGGTCTCGGGGCAACTGCGCATCGCCATCGTCAACAGGCAGACTTTGAATTGGGTGGTAACATGTCGTGTGCGTGTTTGCTGCAGGCGGACGGTGGTTTATTATTTTACTATTCACTTGCTTTGTCAGGGACGCGTACTTATACGGCTCGCACAGTTTAACTCGCGCTTACAGTAGATACAGTACGTGTCACTGCAATCTGTGGCGTGTCGGCAAGTACAGAACAACTTCGGTGCGGCGGAGTGTGTGTCCTCTGTCAACGGCTTTCGTTGAAGCTTGTGCACGCCGCAAGCAGAGTGTTTCCGATCAAGCAATCAGCGGACTATACGCTGGGAGCTACATGGAGAACGCTTTTGGATTTCGTGCTATTGCTGAAAAGGTAAGCTTTCGTGCATGCGAACAACGAAGTGCAGAAGTGCGTGCCTGCCTGCCAACTCCCGATTTGCCCGCGATACTCGTAACTGCAGGAAGCGACCGTCTCTTGGCGCCGGTAGCTTCGTGACCTTCTCTCGCTATGTGCTTATCAGCTGCGATGTCTCAACAGTCGCAGTGTTCGTGAACCTCGCTTTGGGGCATGGTTAAAGAAATCGGGGGGATGTGCCCCACGCAGATAAACCTTACGGCATTCGGCAGCGGGGGAGAAAACAAAAGGGGGGGGGGCTGAGCAAGCCGAGGTGGGCGAAAGAAATGGCATATAATAATAATAATAATAATAATAATAATATAATAATAATAATAAAAACGAAGCAGATCAACGGTAAAAGAGGCGCCAGTTGTCTGTTAGCGGGACTGCAGTGGACAAATGGGGCGCGTTTATTACGCGGGAGAAAAAAAATCCAGATTTCAATGACTGAAGATAGGGGTGCGTTTTTAATGCGAGTAAATACGCTATTTAAAGCAACAATTGAAAAATACTTAAACTTTGTATCAGTACCCCTTTGATGCCTGCGCTTTGCAGCGGCGTGACGTGTTTCATTAAAAATCGTGCAGCTAACCAAAGAATTTATATGTACC